TTTTTATCTGTAAAAAGTATTTATACAAACAATATGCAACAAGTAATATGTATATTTATATGTATTTTTGTGTAGTTGTGTCATTTATCCCTATTATCAGCTGCCCCTTTGCGGCACAATTAAAAATAAGCAAGTGTAGTGGGGGGTCATAATGCAGGTTTGTTTGAATTTTTTAATTCTCAGCCACCAGGGCGCGCCACTTTAGCGACACACCTTCTACAAGAGTAAGAGTCGTTTCTATATAAGCCTTATTCTATACTCATTGTCGGGTGGTCCAGCTGACTCACGAGATGAGACCATAGAGTAAGTAAAATAATTACTTATTTTACTTTCTCTATGGATGAGACCCATTTCAATGGAAACGTCATCACACTACCGGTCCATCGTGCGTTACACAGAACGCCATTATATTCTTTCGCGTCATTAATTTTCATTTCCAATCAGTTGAATAAATATTGGGGAGATACGGGGCGCAAATTGTTTCCTCTCGTTTTGATTTCCTTTCTTAATGGCCGGCTTTCCATAATAGAGCGAACGCTCTCAAATTGTGTGATACCTTTGCTATCGATATAATGGGGGCAATTTGTGAATAGTCGGGGTTTTAGTCAGAAGTACGGAGGTGGATACGCAAAAATGTTATATTTGCCGACAACAGCAAAACAGACTTCCCTATTTCCTTGTCCCCCATAGGTATATTTACATTTTACCACTTGCGCCTTTACTTTTCTCTGTATTTATTTTCTAAATCAATGCTACCCTGCTAAGACAGGAAGTCGTATCTACAAAAACGAAGTTTTGAGATATTAAGCAATTTGTAAATTATGACATGCCGTCTTGCCTCATTTGCAAAACTGTTCTTTTTTAAGATCTCAATGTGGACTTCACGTTAATAAACTTACACAAGAAATCTTAAGGTTGTGAATTTCGGGATTTGATAAAAAAAATGACTTTTGTTAGATACGACTTTTTGTTTTAGTATTCTCATACTATTAAGGTATACACATACTAAGTAATTTTGCAGTATAGTACTCATAGTTTAGCAAATAACATAAAGTTGAGTTCAATCAATGGTCCACTAAATTTGGTTTTATAAAAAAGGTTTTTAGAGCCCCTTTTAAATTGAACCTCAACAAAATTTGCTAAATAAGGTTTAGGTGCTATTTTGTTCATTTTGAATCTTGCGGAATAATCAATAAAATCATGAAAATCATCAAGGCTCATTTCAATCATCTCTACCTTTTCTTTGTCTTAGACTTTTCCACTTGGAAAGAGTCAGCGGACATGAAAGTGTGGTCAGTTTGTAAATATTTTAATTTTAATAA